AACGTTCACACTCGTGTGTTTTGGTGAACGTAGTGTACATGTTTTTGTTGGGTACCTGCTGGGCGTGGCATCGCGTGTTCCCACATGCAACTTCAGTGGCATCCCACGTGCCTCCAGCTCTAGCTGCTCCACCCTGATGCCATCACTGACATTTCTGTCTGTTTCATTTTAGCCATCCTGGTGTGGGGAAGAAATTCTGAATTTTGGTGTAAGTGAAATGTCCCCACGTGTGTTTGTTTCTGGAGGCCCTATTTGTCCTGTCGGTCTCTTTTTCTTTCTAGAGTCCCACACTGTGTTACTGACAGTAACTTTCATTATTTTTATTTATCTGTTTATTTATTTTTGGCTGCGTTGGGTGTTCATTGCTGCACATAGGCTTTCTCTAGTTGTGGCGAGCGGGGGCTACTCTTTGTTGCAGTAACTGGGCTTTTCTTGTTGTGGAGCACAGGCTCTAGGCATGCAGGCTTCAGTAGTTGTGGTGCGTGGGCTCAGTAGTTGTGGCTCTCAGGCTTAGTTGCTCCGCAGGATGTGGGATCTTCCTGGACCAGGGACTGAACCCATGTCCCCTGCATTGGCAGGTGGATTCTTAACCACTACACCACCAGGGATGTCCATGGAACTTTAAAATAAGTCTCCCATCCAAGAGCGGTAGTTCTGCAACTTTGTTCTTCCTCAAGATTATGTTTATTACGGACTCTTGGTATTTCAATATATTTTTCAGAAATGTGTTTTCAATGTCCACACACACATACACAATCTGCTGAGATCTTGATCAGATTATGGTGAATCTATAAATCACCTTGGAGGGAATTAACATCTTCAAATATGAGACATTCATGAACATGGTACATCTCTGTATTCTTTAGGATTCAACACTTTTTTCTGAATAATATTGTGTAGATATTTTGTAAAAGGTTTTGAGCATATTTGATTAGATTTTTTCTTGATTTTTTAGTGCAGTTCTAAATATTTAAAAACTTTTTAAAATTGTTTTTGCTACTATATAAAAAGACAACAGATTTTTAAATAATTCATAGACTTTATGTTTTAGAACTTTTTTTTTTTTTTTTTTTTTTTTTATGTTGTCCTTTCTCTTTTTTGTCTTTTCTCGTTTTGGGTCGCAGGCTCCGGACGCACAGGCTCAGTGACCATGGCTCACAGGCCCAGCCGCTCCGCGGCATGTGGGATCTTCCCGGACCAGGGCACGAACCCGTGTCCCCTGCATCGGCAGGCGGACTCTCAACCACTGCGCCACCAGGGAAGCCCCTAGAACATTTTTAAGTTTGCAGAAAAATTGAACAGCAAGTACAGAGAGTTCTCATGCACCTCCTCTCCCCTGACCTGCAGTTTTCCTTATGTCTAATATCTTGCATTGATGTGGTACATTTGTTACACTTGATGAGCCAACGCTAATACATTATGATTAACTGAAGTCCATAGTTCACACTGTGGTTCAGCCTTGGTGCTGTACATTCTATGGGTTTAGACGAATGTATAATGACATGTATCCAGAATTATAAAACCATACAGACTAGTTTCCCTGCCCTGAAAATCCCCTGTGCTCCACCTGTTTATCCCTCCCACCAAAGCCTGGCAACCACTGATCTTTTTACTGTCTGCCTATTTTGTATTTTCCAGAATGTCATAGAGTTGGAATCATACATTCTGTAGCTTTCTCTGATTGGCTTTTCTCACTTAATAACATGCATTTAAGGTTTGTCCATGTCTTTTCATGGATTGATAGCTCTTTTCTTTTTAATATTGGACAAATCATAATATATTAACAAAATATTACCGTGGAAGAAAAAATGAGCAATCTTGCATATCCAAAATTATTACTTGAAAAAATGATGAGAGTTGATAACTCATTTCTTTTCAGCACTGAATAATACTCCATTGTCTGGATGGACCACAGTTTATTTATCCATCACCTACTGGCAGGAATTCTTTTTGGAAGCACTTAGTGACTGATTTGTTTGCCATCTGTTCTTTAATGTGATGAAATTCACCTGTGTTCCTTTAGAGAGAACCTCTAATTCAGATTCTTCAATCATTAAAACCAGGTCCCCAGTCACCCCCCAAGAGTGAAGTTTTAGTGTCACTCACAATGGTCGTCAGTCACACACAGCTGGCCTGTCTGAACCATTCTTTATCTCCAATAAAACTATTCTACAGGTGTGGCTTTCCTTACTCTGAGCCGGGCGCTATTCTAGGTACACACCATGTCCCTGCCATCCTGGAATGAACGTCTTGGTCGGCAAGAAAAACAGGAAGGGAAAAAGTAAGTACGAGCCAGGTGGGTAGGCCAGGTACAGCCCTTGGCTGAGTGGAAGAGGCCCACCCTGGGGAGAGCCATCTGCTTTACTGAGTGCATGGAATCAAAGGCTATTCTCATCCAGAAGCACCCAGAATAAAGTCTGACCAAGTATCTAGACACTCAGTGGTCCAGTTGACCCATAAACTCAGCTGTCACACAGAGTGACATCTCACAGGTAGTTCTGGCTTCTGTATGGACAACATGCTGCTGGGCTGCAGGAGCAGAAGCTGGAGATGCCTCCAGGGGCCACTGTGATGACCCAGTGGGATGGAGCCGCCCTGCGTTTCCAAGGTCCCAGTCGGCACCCTCTGGTTCTTCCCCTCCGGGTACCTACTTGCACCAATCTGATGCGGCTTTCTGGGGAGTGATTTGAGGGACTCTCACGCCGGTCTCCTGATGGCTTCTCCCTGTCCAGGCTTCCCCGGTGTGGACCACCATCCACCATCTCACCGTCTCCCCCTCCCTGGTTTGGCAACGCACTGGTGTGTAATGCAGAATCAGGTGACTCTGAGCCTCAGGGCTGTCAGGAAAAAGGAGCAGCCGCAAATATGTCATGGGGAAGCAGAGCTTTCAGAATGAAATGCAAGTCGCCGGGGGGGGGGGGGTGGCCTGCTTGTCACATCAGAGGGGCTCCCGACACCACATGGGAGACCCAGGTCAGACCCAGGCGCAGCCGGCTAAGGAAGATTCGTGTTTTCTCTTCTTTAGAAAGGGATGCTCAACTTAATCATCCCAGCGGGTTTACAGTTGAAGGAAACATTGTTTCTTTTTAAAAAATCATTCTTTCCTTCCAATAGAGTACAGCTGGTTCTCCATATGCGGTAACTGTTCTACAGAGACACCCAAACACTGAGTTGGCGAGTCCTGAGCCTTTGCTCCTGGGGACACAGGGCTGGGCTCCCATGGGCCCCAGGCCCCATTTCCCTCAATGGGTCAGTACCTAACCCTGTCTCGTGTGTGTTTCTGCTGAGGGACACCTTACCGGATATCTACTTTGCTGCATTGACACAGACCTTCAGCCAAGAGCACGTAACTCCGGCCCTGACAAAGCTTCTCTCCCAGGCCCTTTCTACCGAAGCACAGTCTTTCCGCACTGGGCTTGGGGGCATTTTAAGCAGCAAAATCACCAAAAAAAAAAAAAAAAAAAAAACACAAAAATGCAAAAATGACAACTTTTCATAGACCTCTAGAAAGCCACGTGTCGCAGCGGAGCTGACACAGGAAGCAGTGTCGCCTCTCGGGCCGGGGCTGGCACCACGAGGCGGGGCCACGCTGGCTCGTCCACGAGCGTGGATCTGGAGCCCCAGACGGACTTCAGTGAGCAAGTGTACTTGAGAGCACAGAACCAGGACGTTGAGGACCGGGGTGGTTGCCTGGCCTTTATTCCTCTCTCCTCCGGGACCGTCCTAAGCCTGGGGCTCCCCTGGTGTCCAGTATACGCCTCTTGGGGTGTGGGGGGGTGAGCATCGCTTAGCACAAAGGCAGCCAGGAGGGGGACAAGGGGTCGGCAGCGGGCCCACCAGGCAGGTCCTGGAGCAGACACCCTCTTCCGAGGGCTGCAGTGACACAGCCAGGAGCACACCTGCTGGAACCAGCCCAGCGCCTGGTGTCCCGTGGGTATTCTGTAAATAGTTACTGCCTGACCGTGAACCCCAAGGGGCCTTTTGAGGATGAAATCTCACTCCGGCCTCCATGGCCCTGCCAGCGAGAGACGAGGGGACGTGGGGCTTGGCACACAGTCTGTCACCTTTAGGCCGAAGGGCCACCCAATAACGGGCGGTGAGACGGCCATGAGTCCACACACTGCCTTGCCTCATCGAAGGGAGCAGCAGAGATGGGGCACAGCAGCCTGTGGGTGCTGGGGAAAGCCATGCCTTCAACCCACCTTCAGAATTGCACTGTCACTACAGCGAAAGCTAGAGAGGCCCAAACAGGGCTCTGCTGGGAACAGCTACAGCAGCATGGGAATCCCGCCTACTGAGGAGACCCCCTTTTTCCTTAAGGATGGCGACTAAAAGAAAATCTTTTGGTAATTCCCTGGCGGTCCAGTGGTCAGGACTCTGCGCTTCCACTGCAGGAGGCATGGTTCAGTCCCTGGTCGAAGAACTAACATCCCGCTTACCGTGAGGCCAAAAAAAAAAAAAGATGGCACCTGCCAGACCTTGTGAGGTATGTTCCAGGCATGATTGCTTCCTGGAGAATCGTTATTCTTTCACAGAACTTTTAACCTTAATTTGCTAGAGATTGTCTTAAAGTCTTATCTCTAACATCTACGTGTTTTAGGGGAATTCAGATAAAACTTTCCCCTTTTAGGAATTTCTTCAAAGGCTGAGATATTCCAAGCACTATTCTGATTCTGTAATTCACCTTATGGGGAAAGTTGGCTCAAGGAATATTTCTGAGACAGACAAAGAGACCAGGAGATGGGCCAGGCCACAGCCACCCCTGAGCACCATGCAATGCCCACTGAAGCCTCAGCTCCAAGCCATTGGGAGGTTTTCTCTCCTGTGAGTCAGGCGCCCCCACCTGTGAAACAGCTGATAACCCGCATCCGCCTCTGCTGGGTCTCCGAGGTAATTTACACAACACTTTGCAAACTCCAACACTGTTCGTTGTTTTACCATCACTATGGTTGTTATTATTATGCTATAGATGGCGACAAAAAAAAATTAATCAGGCGACCTAAGAGAGAAATGAAAAATTTTATTCGAGCCAAACTGAGGCTTCTAACCCAAGAACAGCCTCTCAGAAAGCTCCAAAATTGTTCCACCCATTAGAAGCCCAGGCACAGTTGTTTAAGTTTTTTGAGACAGAGGGCTGTACATTAAATGACGTATTATTGACAGTTTACACGGTCTAGAGCTAAGTGTCATTGTGGCCCCTTAAAAGATCAAGAAGGAATGTTTTCTTTAAGGGGCTGTCTTGCTGGTGCTGGGAGGATGTCGCTCCTCGCGGACGAGCAGGTGTGTCTGCCGGTGGGGAGCTGTGGTCATCCCTAATGCAGATACAAGATGCGTAGTTGGGGGAGAGGGGAGGTCAAAGGGCAGAGTAAATTTCTTATGTTTAAATTTTTCCAGTCTTGCCATAAAATATGAATTTTATTTCACATAGATGAAGCTCCTGGTTAAAATAACAATGAAAGTGGAGCACTGATGGTATTTCACAGGTAGAATAAAACACCGCAATCTGAAACGGTTAAAATTCTAGATGCACCTGAGTTCTCCAAACTATAATCTTTAAAAACTCAATCTTGTCTCAGAAATTACTTCTCCAAATTTTGACGTACGGTATTTCACGTTTGTCTTCTGCTGGGAGGGAAGTTGCCGACCTGAGCTTAGGGGACGGTGGGTCACCCGTAGGCCGATGACTCAGAGACAGCTGGCTCGGATGCAGCCGGAGGGACTGGGTCTGCTCTGGGTGTCCCCCTTCCCTGCTGCACTTGAGTAGAGGTGGCCAGAGGGACGTCCACCCCCAGACAGCACGGGCTTCCTAAAAAGCTCAAAGGCAGAGAACTGTGGGGTCCTCAGACCAGCACCCCAGCCGTTGGGAACAAGAGTGAATCAGCCCCCTGTGGACAGGGTGGGTGTGATGACATTCCTTGTGCCCTTGTGACCTGGCTGTGGCCCTGGACAAGGAACTACAATGCTTAGACTCACTCCTAGAGGGTCTGCCTCTCCAGGAGGGAGGGCGCTGGGCAGAGAGGGTGGAGAGATGGCAGCTCCCCTCGCCCCAGAGGCTTCCAGGAGTGGGGGAAATCAGGAAGGGCTCCTGGACGGAGGTGTCCGCCACTTGGCGAGGGTGCCGGTTTCCATGGGGGCAGACCCACCTCAATGTGCCGATGCCAGGAGGTCGCCAGGCCCTGGGTGGACAGCAGGAGCTGTGCGTGCTCTGTCTGGGGATGCAGGCGGCCCTCGTGGGCCTGTGTGTCCTGGACGCCAAGCCTGGACCTGCAGACCAAGCCGAGCATCTGAAGGAGGAGGGGAAAAGACCAGACAAAGACAGCATCTGGCCAGAGCGCCAGGACTAGGGGCAGGGCTGCTGGCCTGAGCTCCAGGGAAGAAAGCGCTGGACACTGGCTTTGCACGTGCTCGATGGCCAGGAACCGGTGGTCGAGCCAAGGAAGTCGGAAGTCAAAGAGCCAGCAGAACGAAAGACCCGCGGTCCAGACTCTCCTCTACGTTCGAGGGTTGATAATCCTGGTTACAGAGAAGCGGCGGTGCTCCTGGATGGAGGGGCGTAAACTTTCAGGAACTTTCCCGGTGGCAGGGCGGGGGGCAGCGCCCGTCACAAACAGGTCTGGGAACCACGTCAGGGCCTCCGGCAGGGCCCCCAGACTCCGCTGCTCAGGGTCCGCCCAGTTCATCGAAAGCCCTACTCAGTGCAGTCCCAGCGCAAGGCCCGGGGTCTTACATGTGGTTCTCCAACCAGGCAGGACAGCCAGCCTGGGCGGGGTCACCTGGGGCTCTGCCCTCCCAGCAGAACAGGTCCAGTGGCTGAAGGGGCGACGTCTCCGCCCCAAGGGTAGGACTGGAGTCGGGGGGACGGTGTCTCAAGGCCACAAGGCGGCCTCCTGCCCACGCCCCAGCCGCCCCCTCACACCGGACGCGTCCACATCCTGGCCTTGGTCAGCACTGCGTGGCCCGGTGCTGCCGTTTCCAGGAGTCAGCTGACCCCAGAAGGCGAAGTTCCTGTTTGCAGCGCAGACATTCCGGCAGGGGAGGGGGAAGGATGGCCCCTCCCCCTCAGCCCCGCAGACCCTCCCGAGCTGAAAGGTCACAGTGACACATAGCAGGGGCCCGGGCAGCGTCCCCTGAGCGGCTTTGGGTTCCCCGAGGGAGCCTGTGGGCTTCCTCCAGGAAAGGAGTTGCAAAAGCACCGATTCTAGGGACTTTGTCCAGAAATGACCCCAACCCCCCAGCGGGGAGCATCGCACTGCCTCTCAACTCCAAGGGGCACAGACGCCTTGGGAGGGTCCCAGGAGACCGAGACCCCTCTGCTGAGGGCCCGGTGCGGACGGCGGGCACAGAAGCCTCGGCTTTGGTGGTCTGGGCGCCACAAACCTGCTGCACGTGAGGGCTTTCCCACGTGCCTCTGTGATGCTGCCCGGCCCCCACCTGCACCTGCTCTCACCTGGACGCTGGCCCTACTGTTCAAGGTCCCTTTCGTCCATCTTTGGTGGGGGTCAGCCGCCTGCTGCCAGCCAGGACCCTGCTTATCCCTAGTGGTGCCCCGGGAGACCCACAGACGCCTGTGCAGGGCTGGCCCCAGAGCTGTTGCAGTTTGCGGCCAGGCTGTCCCTGCCATGACCGCTCATCCTGATGTGGGCGGACAACGGCCACAGCGAATGCAAGAAGAGCCAGACAAGGCCGCGTTCTGGTAAAACCTCGCGCACACTCTGCCCGTGGGTGCCTTTCCCTGGCCTGCACCCACACCCCTGCGACATGTGACCTGGGAGGGTCCTGGCTGTGGACGGGATGACGGGGCCCCGGACCCCTGCCTGCCAGGTGCTGCCCTGAGTCCTGCGGGAGCCTCGTCCCCCCAGCCTCCCACGGCGGCCTCTTCCTCCGGGCAGCCTTCCCTGAGCAGGTCACACCTGCGTGTGACACCCCGCCCCCCACCCCGGTCAGAGCCTGAGCTTGGCTGCGTTGGGAGCATGCTCCCACGTCCCAGGGGCCGGCCCTGAGCTGCGGGGAGGGGGCATGAGGGGGGCAGGTTGAAAGCCAGAGCTTCGTCTGTTGAAGACGTCCTGGGCCTGTGAGAAGGGTGCGACGCCACACCTGCGTCAGGGTTTGGACGTAAAATGACCCCCTTCCCTCGGCCTGGGGTACCCTGCAGCCCAGGCCCCACCCCTGCACGTGAATTCCACACGGTCCTCAATCATCCGGACCCGACCGTGTACTTGCAGGGACGCGACCCTCAGGTGACTTCATTCCATGGAGAAAAGGTCAGGCAAGGCGGCCAGTTTGCACAGCATCACAAACCACAGGTGGAGTCGCTGCCCCGTCCGCTGTGGCGCTGGCCATCCTGGCACACCCGAAAACCCGGGTGTTTTCGTAACACCCGAAGCCCAGGCCCGCCCTGTGCTCTCCACAAGCAGAGTCACAAACGGCATCTTCAAGAAGAATGACAAGAAGGGCTGGGAATTCACCCTGGGAGCAGGCGAAATTTGGTGGGAACCGAAAGCTACCACTGTTGGCAGAGGGAGGGCCCATCCTGACACACCCTCATGCAGGGAAACCCCTGAGAGCCATTTTCGGGAAGGAACCTAAGATTCCGTGGCTCAGTAAATTTTAGCACAGCACGGAACACCCTGAGCGGCTGGATTCAGAGATGGACCTGGTTCTGCCGAAGTCGGGGCCGGGGTGGGGGCCTGCCCGACTGCGGCCCCGCAGTGACCCTCCCAGCAGCACTCCCACCGCGTCGGGACATACCCCTGGCCCTCCCACCCAGCACGCTGCAGACGGGCCCGTCCACTCCAGCCGGTTCCCTGGTGAGCTAAGGAGCGATGCTGCTGGGTCCCGGGAGGCCACCCCTCCCTCCTGTCCCTCAGTGTGTAATCAAAACCGTTAGAAACTTTTCAAAAGGCATGCTTCCCATATGCAGTGGTGAGGGCCTGGCAGTCCAGACGTGGTTAGACACAGAAAAGCAGCACTCAGTTAAAAAAAAAGAAACTCTGAAACTGAGGAATCATCACTGCGAGGTTGTATAATCCTTGTTTTGACAGAAAAGACAGCTTCCAGATTACCCTGTTCTATAACTGAAAGCCTCACCCACTGGACCGTCCTGCAGAAAATGCGCTGTGTGCGCCATGCAGCACAGTCAGAAAGGAGCAGCCGTCGGGTTAACCAGCGGCCGTGGGGGCCTGAGCCCCGCGGGGTGTCTCACCAGGACCCAGGGTGTCGCCTTCGGGGTGAGCCTCGGATGAAGGTGTTTAGCCTTGAAAAGCACAGTTAGAATTTGCAAAGGTGTCAGGGTGGGGGGACCAATCCCATCACTCTGCAGATCAGGACACCGAGGGGCAAGTCCCCAGCCCTGATCAGGGACCCGCGGTGACCCCACCCGCCCCGCGCCCACATTCCAGGGCTGGCTCTGCAGAACCTCTGTTTGGCACGTGGGCCCTGCATCAGCCACCCGCCTCCACAGTCTCCCGTTCTCCTCCCAGCCCCACGTGGCTAAGTTCAAAACACACCCACCTCCAGGACACACCGGCGGACAGGTGTGCTCAGGTGAAAACACCTGGAAACCACTCAGAGCCGTCCTGTGCCTACCTAGGCCTCAGAGGGGCAGGACGGTGTAAAAGGAACTTCCCTGAAGCTTTGGTTGGAGAGAGGGGAGGAACGGGGTTAGGCGGGTGGAACACCCCTTGCGGGGAGCCCACCCGGGCTGCAGCGGGTCTGCCTGGAGGGACAAGCCCTCAGCCCCACCCCCACCCCCTGGCTGACCGCCAGCTGCAAGTCCCGCCCCACAGGGCCTGGGCCGGCGTCGCTCTGAGGACTGTGCCCAGAGGAGAAGCAGGAAACGCGCCCTCTTCTCTTTCTGCTCCGCTGATTTCTGAAAATGGGGCCCAGCAGGTTCCGCCCCTGAGATGCAGCACCGCCCCGTCCTGGGAACTGTGCTGTGTCGACTGGACGGCAAGACAGCCTAGAAAGATCACACGGTGGTGGGCAAGCCCCCCCCCCCGCCCCACCATGTTCTAAGGTGCCAGGGCCTGAAAGAGCACGAGCCCCATCGGGAACCAGCTGCAGCCCCCCCAACTCCCAGCCCGATGCGTCCGCCTCAGGTCCCTGCTAGGCTGTAGAGTTATCCAAACAAGCCCGCCTCGTCCCCCTGGGAACTGCAAAGCTTCCTCTGCAGCCCCCCCCCCCCCATGGGCCCATCAGTCATGTGCCTGTGGCTAACCACCTGCGGCCAGTCTCACCTGTCCAGGGTGGGGTGTGGGCGGGGCGGGTCCCTCCCTTCTGGGTGGGGTGAGAGGCAGGTGGCCAGAGCGGCCCCTTTGGCTGTGTTGGCTGAGGTCCAGGCATCCCTAGACATGCTTTCCCCTTGGGGTCAGGGAATCCTCCCCCGCCACTTCCTTCCAGGCAACGTCCAGACAGCTAAGGTTTCAAAGCCAAAAAAAAAAAAAAAAGGGATTGAGAACTGAATACAACAATTCTACAAAATCTGCAGGAATGGAGGTCTCCCCCAAACCAAGTTCCTGATCCTGAGTTTGTGGGGCTGAGCCAGTGCCCCCTCCCCGAAAACTAAACACGGGACCGAGCACCTCAGGAAGGAAAGGAGAGGTGGTCGTGAGGGTCCCGTGAACTTGGAGGTGCTGCAGAAATTCGTGGGACAGAGTCCCCTTCCTCCAGTCCCCCCACTGAACCAGAATCGGGTACCCTGTCCCCCTCCGCGGGCTTTCCCGCCAGGTCCATCTGCAAATCCATCCCCGTGGCTGAGCAGAGGCCGGGACCCTTGCTGTGCAAAGCCTGTCGTGAAGGAACAGAGGCTTTTTGTTGCCCTGCGGTTTCCAGGGCTGAGCTGGCCTCACGCACTGAGTGGTCCTGCTCCACAGACCTTGGCCGCCTGGCCGCTGTCCAGCGGGGGACAGAGGGATCTGTGTTGGGTCAACAGCACAGCACAGCCACGGCAGGAAAGCGGGGCGGCCGTTCCCAGAGCCCTGGATTGTGCGAACGAGGTTTCTTTTTCCGAAGTCGCCAAAATGTCGGTCCATGCTGAAAGCTCACCGCCAGCCAGGGTCACTGCAGTTGCATCTAAAATAAAAATACTACAGAACCAGAAGCTGAGTAAATTCTTTTTTCTCACTCTCCTTCAACAAAGCTGAATGGAATAATTGGGATCAAATCCTCCCCTTCAAAATCACATTTGGCTGAGAACCATCTGTGCCAAGTGTCAGCCTGAAATAATCCTTTTGCTGACATTACAAACCCTGTGAAAGAGAGTGGACCACAGACATGCTGACACCGCCAGAAGCGCGGCAGGACAGATGAGATGTGAGTTCTCTTTAATTTTATTCTTAAAGTGAAAGAGCTTGTCAGCGGAGCTGCATCTAAAACAACAAGTCATGTAAACGCTGTGAGCAGTCTAACAACCTACTGTCGGGATTTACCGTCCAACGTAAAATAAAATTCAAGCCCGGAGATTAAAATTAAAAGTACCGAGTATAAAAAGCCATAGTTTCATGATCAAAAGAATAAAGCTCGGGCTTCCCTGGTGGCGCAGTGGTTGGGGGTCCGCCTGCCGATGCAGGGGGCGCGGGTTGGTGCCCCGGTCCTGGAGGATCCCACATGCCGCGGAGCGGCTGGGCCCGTGAGCCGTGGCCGCTGAGCCTGCGCGTCCGGAGCCTGTGCTCCGCAACGGGAGAGGCCACAACAGTGAGAGGCCCGCGTACTGCAAAAAAAGAAAAAAAGAAAAGAATAAAGCTCACGTCCTAAAACGTACATTCCCAGTTACATAAACACCCGTGGGTGTCTCGGTGTCACAGCCCCTCCTGGGTCCAGCCCGTCTGCTTTCCTGTGCAGGACGGCAGTTGCCACAGTGAGACTCCGACGGACCCCAGCTTCGTGCTGCTCCCCTCACCATCTGCTTTCGTCCATTTACTGCTGGGGTCATTTACCGTTGCTTCAACTTTCAGGAGATGTCTCACCACCTCCTGCATCTACTTGTCAAAATCTGTTCATGTCTTAGAAGGAGTCCGAGTCCCCACCCAAAGTGCAGCCTTAGGACACCCCCTGGAACTCTGTGCCTCTCTTCTTTGGTCTTAGGTTGTGATTGTTTCCGTGCTTCTAAACACGAAACACAATCCCCATTCACTGTGGTTCTCCAGCTCTGCCTTGTTACCCACCGCCAGCAGCCGGGGCTGCACCTCCTTCTCAGCTACTAGTCGACAGCTCAGGGCTCCAGACGTGACTCCGCTGACTTCTCTTACCACCTGCACCCTGGCTGGACACTCCAGTTCTCACAATTCCACAATAAAGCGTCTTCTCAGCTGCGGGGCTTCTCTGGGATGTATCCCTAGGGCTGTCGTTCCTGGGCCACAGGGCGTGTGCATCTTCACCGACTGGGTGTTTGCGCACTGGTTCCCGAGCGGCCGCGCTCGCCTCGCGCCCCGGGTCCTGGCCGGTCCCCAGCACCACCTTGCCAGCCCCTCTCATGCCACATCTCCTTGGGTGCGTCTCCCATAGATCTGCAAGCCCAAGCACCTTCTCGTCTCTTCCTGCCCCGCGGGCTTCCTCTCTTGGGCGCTGCCTGTGCGTAAGCTTTCCCCATTTGGGGTCGTTTTGCTTTCTTAGAGCCGTGTAGAATTGCTTTACATTATCGAACGATGCTGGTCCTTTTCCCATGATGCTCATTGTAACTACTTCCTGACTGAGTTGTGGCTTTTATCTTCAGCTGGTTTACAGCGAGACCTTTACAATGTTATGAAACGTGCTGGTGTCTCTTTGGCTTGTGATTTTTGTGGACTCGTTAGGAAATCCTTTCCTATCCCAAAGTCACAAAGATAATCTCCAATTTTTTTTTTTTTTTTTTTGTACGTGGGCCTCTCACTGTTGTGGCCTCTCCCGTTGCGGAGCACAGGCTCGGGACGCACAGGCTCAGCGGCCATGGCTCACGGGCCCAGCCGCTCCGCGGCATGTGGGATCTTCCCGGACCGGGGAACGAACCTGTGTCCCCTGCATCGGCAGGCGGACTCCCAACCACTGCGCCACCAGGGAAGCCCAATAATCTCCAATTTTTTTAACTTTAAGGTTACACTTTGCACAATTAGCCACTCATTCACTTGTGGGGGTTTTTTTTAACGTGGTAAAATAAACATAAAATAAAATTCACCATTTTAACCATTTTCAAGTGTATGGTTCAGTGGCATTCAGTGCATTCTCAATGCTATGCTACCATCACAGGCTCTTTCTTCACCCCGGACTCATTTGTTTTCTAAACCGTTTATTCAACAGACCTTATGGAGGCTCTCAGGAGGGCCGGCAAGACGCTGGAACAGCCAGTGAAGGAATCAACAGGCCTCCCCCTGTCCTCGGCGGCTGGCCCTCGGGGACGCGTCAGCGGTAAGAAGCGGGGACTCCCCGGCTTTTGCCCGAGGGCCGAGATTTGTCCCCTCTGACCTGTGAGGTGACGCGTGGGGCCATCACCCCGGCCACGCAGGGCGGCCCGCTTGCGGACCGGACGCTGCTGCATCTCAAGGAGCTTCCCCCAGAGAAAAGCTGCTGAGAGTGCCTGGTGGCACAAACCAGCTCCCGGACGCCACTGATGAGGGGTGTCTGTGGGCGGGAGATGACGCTCCTTCCGTGCAGGTTTCAGGTTCTGGAGCAGAGATGAGAACCAGATGAGCTGGTGAGAGGGGCCCCAGGAGGGCGGTGACGGCCACCGCCCCAGCTTTAAAGGGCTCATCCTGGAGGGAGGCAGGCGGCTGCTCTGTTCTGTTCTGTTCGGAGAGCAGCTTTCACGGTGTGGTCGGCGTCCTGGCCCGGGGTCGGGCGGCAGGAGGGGTGGCTCCGAGAACAGCCCAGCCCTGGGGTCCCAGGAGGTGCAGGCCGTGGGGCGGGAGGGCCCGGGATGCCCCCGGCACCTTCTTCAGGTGCAGCCGGCAGGGCCACAGCGCGGCCACAGCTCCCCCGGGTTTGCTGACGGCAGGGGCTCCTCGGCACAGGCCTTGGCCACGTGTCCGGTGGGTAGAGGGAGGGTCGGCCTGCAGTGAGGCCGCCGGCTCGGGACGCGCCCTGGACAGAGGCACAGGGTCGGGGGATGGCTCAGGACCAGCTCGGGGTGCGGACAAGAGGCCCCGGCCGGGTCAGCCCCCTAGTCCGCAGCCAGGCTCGTCCTGACTGTGTCACTCCAGCCGCCCAAGGCGTCGCCGATTTTAACTCGCCTTCTCCTGAGCGGCGAGTTCCACCGGACCTTGGTAACAGAGCCATCGGGGAGCCATCCCCAGAGCGAGGCAGGCCACTGGGGTGCCCTTCACATGACGTTACTCAGGACTGGGGAAGAAGGTGGCTGTTCCGTGTCTCACGGCGTCTGGAGCTCACACAGCTGCAGGTGCTTTCTTTAAGGGAAAAGGTGCACAGTTACAGTAATAGATTAGGATGGCCCTGAACACCTGTGTGAAGTGAGAACAGGAGAGGCCACATATCACAAACACTCTAAAGCTGCAGGACAAGGTCAGATGTGGGAGGAGTGCCCGCCCTGGGGCCGCACCCTCTCCGCTCCCCAGCTGGTTCACACCTTGGACACAGAGAGTCCCAAGCCCAGCCCAGCCAGGCCACATTTACTGACAGCTTATGGAAGTTTCCTTCCGCTTTGCCCTGCGGAAGGGCTGCCCTTCTGAGGCAGGAAGGGGGCAGGGCACAGCCTTTAAAAGCACGACATAGCCCGAGGACACGACAGAAGCTGCTTGGAACAACCAGACGGCTGACAAGCAGACCTCCGCTAGACCCCGAGCCCCAGTATCCGCTCATTGTAACACATCAGCTACGTGACTCACCCACAGGAGCCAGGAGAGTTCTGAGGGTGACCATGGAAGGCCCAAAGCGAGCGACGCCCAATTCCCAGAAACTTCCCAGCCCTCCAACCCTCCTACCCACTAGCCTATGAAATTACCCAGCCCTATAAAAACTGACAACCCCGTACCCTGGCTCTCTCGGTTTCTTGCTTCTCTCACCTTCCGTCTATGGAGTGTGTTTCTCCCTGAATAAACCTTCTTTCTCTACCACGGCTCGCTCTTGAATTCCTTCCTGTGCGAAGCCAAGAATCCACACTCGGCAGCCGTGCCCGGGACTCAGATGGGACCCGGGAGGTGACCATCCTCTCACACCTCACTCTCTTACCTGCAACACTTTGACCTCAGCTGTGCCAACTTCTCACCCTGCCTCAGCCTCCGGGCTCGGCCAGGTCCTGGGTGCCCCAGGGGTACCCTGCTTCACTCTTCCGCCTTGAGGGTCACAGAGGTCCATGTGGGCAATGGGCCCTGGGGGGTGGGGAGGTCATGTGGAAGCCAGGACCTCGCCCAGGGGAGGGGGCACCCCCTAGGCCTCACCCCACATCCCAGAGAACGCTCTGGAAGGGTCAGGAAAGAGGGGCCCTGAGGGTGACTGGGCCGGGGGGTTGTGGGTGAGGACACGGGCATCACTCTCTGGCCAATGGGGAGAAGCACCTCCCGGGGATGCTGTGGCAGTGGGGTGGACACCTGGCAGAGGCCAGTCTCCTCGGGCCAGGCCCCGCGGCTTCCTGGCAGAAAGAGGAAGGAAGAGGGTTTGCTTCTCTGACTTTGGCACTTTCTCACTGCGTGCACGGTTAGAGCAGAGGCACCGGGCTCCGGCGCTGCAATTGTCATAGTTGTCACCTGGGCCCCCTTGCTGTCCCCTCACCGTGCTCTGTGGCTCACTCCCCTCTGCTCATGGGGGAACTCGGGGCCCCCACGAGTGCTGTCACTTCCTTCCTCTCACCTCGATCCCCTCAAACCCAGCCCCCAAGGGAGTGCCCACCTGGTCCAGTGCTGGGGGGTGACCCCACTGCCCCTCAGTCTCCCCCTCCTTCTTCCTCTCCGGGGCTGCATCTCCTCTACGGACACCGCCGTCCACTCTGCCTCGCTCCATCTGTGTCCTGGAGCCGCGCCAGACATCTGGGCATCCCTTCCATGCCTGGAGGAGAGGAAACGAATTGGCTTTGAGGATCTGAAAGAAACCACTGCCAAAGTAAACCTTAGTGTCCCCCACGGTGACAAATACCATGGTTGGTTACTCAGACAACCGAGATTCGAACGTAAACGTGTGGGTCCCAAAGACGCCGTAGGGTGGTCCACAGTCAACCAAGGAAGAGCTTGCAACACCAAATGGTAACATGTCCACAGATTTTATTTTCTACTGAATCTCCTATCACTAGAAACTTTCTTTACTACTGGGCTAAAAAAAAAATTTTTTTTAAGGGTTAAGGTAGAAAGATTTAAGTTGGAGCCTAAGAACCTTGTTACATACAGCTTGGGGGGATTGACAAAAAAAGAAGAGGGAAATGGCAAGGATGCTACGAGGGTAAATCTGCAAGTCTGTCCTGCCTGCAGATGTTACTGAGAGCTTTATATCTCAAGGTAGAATACGCTTCCAAGGAAAGAAATCATTTCTGGAAAAAGGACCTTTTGAAAAATGTCTTTTTATTTTTATTTTTTTACGTTACGCCGACCTCTCACTGTTGTGGCCTCTCCCGTTGCGGAGCACAGGCTCCGGACGCGCAGGCTCAGCGGCCATGGCTCACGGGCCCAGCCACTCCGCGGCACGTGGGATCTTCCCAGACCGGGGCACGAACCCGTGTCCCCTGCATCGGCAGGCGGACTCTCAACCACTGCGCCACCAGGGAAGCCCCTGAAAAATGTTTGACTAGTTCACATTCTCACAGTGTGTCTTTACATTTGGACTTTGGATAAAGAGGAGTGGCTGTGTAACGTACGTGTGTCCCCAGGGATCCCAGCACAGGCGTCACCTGACAAGGGACTCCACCTCCGAAGCCCTCGGGGCCGGGTCTGTCCTCTTCTCTCCAAGCCCTAACCCTGAAGACTTAATTGCTTAGACAGCAGGCCCAGACATCTGGGAATTCATTGGAATTCAAATTCACTGGGCATTCTTTTTGTTTGCTTGTTTTGTTTTGTTTTTTTAAGTTGATATGTTGTATTTTCACTTTTATTCAGTTCAAGGAATTTTTTTTTTTTTTTTTTTTGGCCACACGGCATGCGGGATCTAGTTCCCCAACCAGGGATCAAACTCGCTCCCCCTGCAGTGGAAGTCTTGGAACTGACTTCCAAGTGGAAGCCTGGAGTTTTAACCACTGGACCGCCAGGGAAGTCCCTGGGCACCCTTTTTGGGTGTGGGGAGACCCATCCCATCACCCAGTGTGGGACCTGCAAGGAGCTGCATTTTCACACTTCACGCCTGTGAAGTATGACCGTGGCTGCAGAAATACCTGGGGGAGCAGACATAAGGGCTGCACGGGGTTCCTGTGTTTTTACCTGTGTTCGCTTCATAGGGTGGGTCTTGTCACCATCACACCTGTTGGGATCCTACAAGAATTCTTCATGATCGCTTAGCCGCATGGGACGTATGTCCTTAACCCCAGGTTGTGCTGTGCAGCCGCGATGCCCTCCCCCACCTCCGAAGAGGCACTGGATGCCAGGAACGAGGAAGTGGCCCTAAACCGTTTGGTTGAAGTCACTTCATGAATCATAATGATGGTTTAGAACAATAAGCCACACTGTGAACACTGCACGAGTTCGCCTCAAATATACTGTGTTGCTGTGTGCAGCCTTTCCCCGGATTTCTTTTTAAAAAGGGAAGACGGAAGACCTTACTGCCCACCCACGTGTGACTCAATGTCCGTTTGTCTCGGGTGGTTTCATATGCGGGAGGTGGGTCCCTCTGGTCGTACTGGGGGCTCCAGACCCCACCTACCCTCGCCCCCCAGCCCCTCCCCCAGCTCACTCCCCCGGGGACAGGACAGGCATGAGGCTGGACCATTTACTTAGTGATTACCTCCGTAACCCTCCTGACAACCATCAAAGAGGCAACAAGATCTGGACGCAGCCAGGCCCTTGGACCCCAGTGAGAAAGGGGGGGAATTAGAAGCCAGGCTTAGAGGCGGCCGCCTTCAGCCCCTGTCGACTTCGACTTCTCACAAAAGCACAGCATGCCTGTGAGAGTCAAACGTGTGAGCTAATGGTTTAAAATAAAAGTGCACGTCACACTTAGAGACAGGAAACAAACTGCAATTGAAAATAATAATAATAATTTGAATAACATCATAAAAAGACGACAGCGCATCGGCGCAATTTGTTCCTGAGAGGCTGTGGGGTGGACGGAGGCCCACAGTCACGAACACTGAGCGGCACCTGAGCCAACACAGGCCACGATGTTCCACCTCGTGGAAGAGGAGGTCCATGTGGTTGGCACGGTGAGCGAGGAACAGCAGGACTTCAGGTTTAGATGCGGAAGCGGCTCACGCGTTTCATGCCTGCGCTGACAGCGATCATTCACTAAGAACTTCCTGCGAGCCCACCTTTTGCTAAGGTTGGACATGAAGACGCTGTCTGCAGTGACCCCTGAGACACGCCGTCCCACTGACCCCCTTAACTTGTCCAAGGTTCCCCTCGTGGCAAAGGGCCACCCCGAACCCCAACTCTCGGGCAGCCCCTGGGGGGCAGCCTTTGTTCCGGTGCCCTTGGTCAGCGAGCATGTTCATATGTCTAAGTCATGTCACCGTGCACACGTGCTGGGGATGTATGTCCAGAGAAATGCGTGTGTGTTACACAGGAACAAACCCAAACTGTGAAAATGAAGAATGCGGGGCATGTGGTCATAGTAGGACCCACGTAGCTGTATGTGAATGTGGAGGAAGTCCTTTGCTCAAAGAGAAGGTGGGGAGATGCCCACGTCAAAACACACCACCTCTCCTGTAAGAATTGGGGCTCTCTGCTAAACACACAAAGTTGGCACTGCTTTTCCCCAGTAATCTAGTCAGTAGCAAAAATCACATCCAACTGGGCTTCCCTGGTGGCGCAGTGGTTGAGAGTCCGCCTGCCGATGCAGGGGACACGGGTTCGTGCCCCGGTCCGGGAAGATCCCACATGCCGCAGAGCGGCTGGGCCCGTGAGCCGTGGCCGCTGAGCCTGCGCGTCCGGAGCCTGTGCTCCGCAACGGGAGAGGCCACAGCAGTGAGAGGCCCGCGTACCGCAAAAAAACAAAACCAAACAAACAAAAAACTCACATCCAACTGTCCACAAAACCCCGTTTGCCGTCCAGGACCCAACTCTCAGAACTAGAACTGATTCCCTAACCTTCATGAAGCAGTTGACACCTTGTGTTTTCCCAACCACATCAAAACAAACTCTACCGAGAACTCAGGGATGTGCTCCTGTCCACCCCAAATTCCCGCTTCTCTGTGAAAAGAGCACTGACTCTGGCAGACGAGCACTGATGAAGACCTTGGGGGCTTCAGAGCACAGGCCACGCCAGGCACCCTTCCACGCCCTTCCAGGCACCTCCCCTGCGCTCACTCGGGGCTTCACAGAAACCCTGCAGACAGGCTCAGCTCCATCCTTATTTTGCAGATGAGGGAGGAAAGTGAGGCAGACAGAGGCGGTCCCTCCCAAGGTCACGGCAGAACCCACGCTCCTGACCCCGCTCTGCTGTCTTGCTGTGTCACAGAATGTAACTCCCATGACTAAAAAAGACTTGGGACTTGGGTCAACTTGTCCCAACGGTGAGATCACCATTGGTTACAAGAGGGTTTCCAGGATGACCCTTTAATTCTGAGCCCGGATGAAAGGAGAATTGCTGAGACCACGGTCAGAAAACAACCCCGCTCATATCAGACAAGTTTGCCCTATCACGGGGATTGGCACAGCTGAACGGTATGAAAGTATTTCCTTTACAGCTTGAAGAATACAACTGCAGAAGAATCGGATTCATTTTGGGTTTTCAATGCCTGTTCTAACTGGGGGGTCATTTGGGAATTCCCTGGTGGTCTAGTGGTTAGGGCTCTGTGCTTCCACTGCTGGGGGCGCAGGTTCCATCCCTGGTCAGGGAACTAAGATCCCACATGCCGCGTGGCGAGGCCAGAAAAATGGGCGTCATTCTAAAAACACACGATGACGTGAAATATATGCTGTTCAACTCGGACTAAACATGCTTTCCGGGAAGCAAGGGCTGCACGCCCAGTTCTGAGCGCAGAGTCCTGACTCAGAAGCCCTTCCTCAAGCCCAGGAGCTACTTTCCACCCCTTGTCTTAAGAGATACACCCTCCTTATTGAGTCTCTAAAATCAAGTGGCTTATAAAAGCCCTATGCTCCAATACAAGTTCCCGGCCTTATCAATTTAAGTGCTGAAAATAGGCACAGGGCTCCTGTTATGACCGACACCCCGAGGTCAAGGAGCCAGATCAGGTGATTCTCTGCAGCCTCTGTTCTCGGAGACCAAGTGCCCCTGCTCAGGAGGACGCCCCTATTTGCTGAAGCAAGAACCACTTGTACAAAGTGAGCCCCGGGGCTGCTGCAGCCGGGGCGCCAGTGCACTGGGAGGACATGAAGAGGACAGGTGTGCAGGCAGGGATGTGTGCAGGTGTGCTTGCAGGTACAGGCTGTGAGCAGCACAGCCCGGGGTGCCCATGGCTCCACGGCCTAACCCACCCACACCT